CAAGTACAATTCTCAATAATTTTGAACAATAACAACAAATATTACAAAGCCAAGCACATGATCATGTTATGACAACATCTGATTACTACATAATAGGCCCTAAGGTGACAATTACAAATTACAATTTCTCCAGAATATTGTGTGTTGTTGTTGTGTGTGTGTGTTTTCGAACGAGCGACCATGTTGACGAAACTACTTAGTGAGTCTGACAATCTGTAAACACAATTCAATTCGATTCGATTCCCGACCAGTCCATTTACGTTCAATGAAAAAAAAAAAATATGAAATTGCGATGCAGACACGAATGAATGATTGATTTTGTTCTTTTCTTTGGAAAGGGGGGTTGTTTAATAAAACATTTGTCCAAAAAGAACAGCAACACGTGCAATGATATGTTTTCACTTAGTTTTCCTTTTTTTTGGGGGGATGTGGGGCTTTTCATGGAAAAATCATGTTAAATTGGGTGATCAAATACACATCCAACTGTGGGGGTATTGTTTCAAAATTATGAATGGAATGGAATTCACAGAATGTCAAGGCATTTAAATGAAATTATTTTCTGTTTTGTTTGTTGCTCCTTTGTTCATCCATGGTGATGGAGGGGGAATGTGTGGTGAGGGATAATGGCAGTAGCCTTGACAATGACAACCTAACATTGGTGATGATAAGCAGACAATAACAGACATAACCAATGTATGAAAGGTTAAATGCAGACATATTTGATTTGACACCTCCCTCCCCTCCCCCATATTTAGACATCGGAGGAGAGAAAACCCCGACTGAAAATAAACGTCTCCCCACTCTAGTCTCGTCTCGTTTCTATGTTTCGCTAATTAAAATAATTACTAGTTTTTGTTGTTGTCGTCGTCGTAGCATTTCCCACGATTTCGCTTTGGCTAATAATGAGCGTCTAAGTTAATTAGTAGCTTCATTTTATTAAATTTTCCTTTTATTTTTTGTATTGAAGTAATGAATAGATTAAACAAATACAGATTGTTAATTGTAAAGTCAAATGGGGATTTATCTGTAGGAAGTGACATAAAATAGGATTAGATAATTATTTGATCATCTTCGCGTAATCGAATCAGAGGGAAAATTATGGAATTGAAATTGAGATAAAAAATAATTAATATAATTTTTAATATAAAAATTGTTAATTTTTTTCTATTTTATTGAATGAAAGCAAAAAATGTCGAAAATAGCATCAAATTTTAGAATAAGTTTAGATTTGTTCGAATTGGTCAACTTTAGCACAAATTATGGCCTTCAAACGGCCAATAAAACCGTCACATGCTGCCCCAATGTCCCTCTGCGGTAATTTGACCCATTCCCGGCGAAGGGCTTGCTTGAGGTGATCGACACTTTGGAATTTTTTAGAGCAACCTTGCTTTCCAAAACAGTCCAGACACAATAGTCCAACGGATTGGATTCCGGAAATTTTGGTGGCCATTTTGCGCTGGGAATGAAGAGAGGAACCTCATTTTCTAACCATTCATGGATGGTGAGTGCTGAGTGCGATGATGCTGAGTCCTGTTGGAATGTCCAAGGTCTGCGGCCACAATGTTTGCGTGTCCAAGGCTTTAATACACCCTCCAAAATATTTTCGCTATAATATTCGGCATTTATTCTGATATCACAGTCGATTAATATGAGCGGAGAGCGACCATCGGCTGTTATGGCGGTCCACTCCATCACCATGGCCGGCGCTTGAGTTCTGGTGGCCATCCGAGGGTGCACATTTCCAGCTGATCTCTTTGGCAAGTAAACTCGATAATTTTGTTTGTTTACAAACTGATAGACAACGAATGTTTTTTTCATCGGAGAAACTCAAATTCGGCAGTTCACCACTTTCGGCCAAGCGAAGCAACTCTTTAGCTTTTTTGAGTCTATTTTCTTTCTGTTGCGGTGAAAGTTCTTGCACTTTTTGCAATTTCAATGGCTTTACCCCGAGCTCAGTTTTCAATATTTGCCGAATGGAATATTACAATATGTTCAGCTCACCGGTCATTTTTCGGCCACTGCGATGCGGGTTCTTTACGTTTCGAACCATTTCTGCTGATGTTGCTGTTTTCTTACGTCCACTTGACCTCCACCTTGACTTCGGGCTAACGAGCGATGGTACGAGACACAAAAGATTTATTCACGTTTAAATATTGTAGTGCTCTAACGATAGCCACTTGTTGGTTTCCAGCCGAATATAAAGAGATCACACTATCACGCTTGAATTCCATCACGAATAACTTTTTTTCTGGAAAATTCTCACCAAAATGCTTTTGTACGCTTGTAAACAATATAATGAGCTGTCACTGGAATAATTTTAACAGCTGTCGGACGAGTGGCTTAGAAATGACAGCAGTCTGAAGTTGGTTGCATAATTTTTAATTTTTATTCTCACCCCATTAGTCCTCGAAATATTTAACTTTTTTTTCAATAATCCTGGGTGTTAAAGAATATTCTAAACTTCCCTAGATGCGATTAGGAGCTTTTACATCCTTTACTATTATTGAGCCTTACAAAAAGCACCAAGAAAATCCTTATTTTTTATTAAATATCCCTGTTAATATGCTATTACCTTCAGCTTTATCGTCAAAGTCCATTGCCTTAGGTTCAATAGACTTGGACAATTATTCGAACCATTGCTAATACCTTTATGAGTCTGAGTCTGAGAATGTCTGCTGCTTTCGTATTGTCGCCGGGCGTTTAACAAAGTTATGGGTCATATCGGATTTAATGGCCATGACTCATTTATTGTTGTGTTCTCGCCTCTGTTGATGATTTTGAATAAACATCACCCCCCACACACTTCCACCCCCCTCCTACACCATGAAACTGATATTTGTAAATAAAACGAAATATTTGCAAACGTTTTGAATAGAAAAAAAAAACTGGTTCGACATAAAATCACAAAACATTGTAAAACTATGTCAGAGACACTTGGTGAGATTTGTTTAGGGAGGATGATGAGAAAGGACACTGTCCTTGAACCAAATAACCACAACCACTGACATATTGTTTGGCACAAAACTTGAATGGCATCTCGAAGTTATTACTTTGCAGAGACTGATAGACGAAACGAAACGAAAAATAAAAATAAACTAATAAAACTTAATCCTTTGCAAGTCGGCATTGATTGGAAAATTGTTTTGGTAACCCCCAAAGCAAACTTTGTTTAAATCAATTATGCGTTGGGTGGCAAGTTTACGATGAAATCAATTTTGTGAGTGCGAGATTTTTCTCAATTAAGGAAAAAAGTTTTCTTCTTAAAAAAACATTTTAAATTTTCTCAAAAACAACCTCTTTATTTTCTATTTCTATATTGCTTTGTCCTTAAAATAACCTCAATAATTTCCATTCGTTGGACAATGGACCCATGGAAAAATAATTAAAATCTTGAGTACATTTAGATTTTTTTTGCTAAATTAAAAATAATTGCGTTGTATACTTTTTCTTTCTCTTCAGTATTTATTCCCTTTTTTATCTATTTTGGTTACAAATCTATTTTAATTTCTTGTTCATTCCCTTTATTCTGACCTTGACTCGTGTGTAGGCCCGTCATAGACAGTTGCTGCGTGGCATCTACAATTTCAATTGTCACCACAACATTAGACCCTTTCCCCGTCTGAGGGTGCCAAGTTAATTGTTTTTTTGTCTTTTGCCTTTTCAATCTGATGAGTGACTTTTATTAGCATCCTTGAAATGTTGCGGAAAATAAAAGAGAGGAAACAACAAATTTCCTTTGTATTCTCAGGCCAATTTTCTGAAGTAGGCCTAATGTGGTTAATAATGGTACGTGACGTATTGTTTTGTTTCTTCCTCTTCGTGTTTGTTTTAAGGAGAAAAAAGAAACACAAAAAAATAAATTCTATGCAAGTCGTGTTTTTGTTCAATTATCCTTTCCACGAAAAACTTTAAGACAATAAACCAAAAAAAAAACTCCGTATCAGAATCGTTGTTAAGCCGCTGCGATGCGGATTTAATTGAAGCAAAAATCTAAATGAAAATTAGACCGTGGGTTAAACAAAGTGCTTGGGATTTTAAACAAATAAATAGCGTGGTAGTTTTTACATAATTGGCAATGGAAAACCTCATTTGGCCCATCTGAATAAAAGTTTTCCTGCGGAAACCCCCATTCAGCCAGGCTGAATTGAAGATTTCCTATGGAAACCCCCATTCAGCCGGGCTGAATTGAAGATTTCCTATGGAAACCCCCATTCAGCCGGGCTGAATTGAAGATTTCCTATGGAAACCCCCATTCAGCCGGGCTGAATTGAAGATTTCCTATGGAAACCCCCATTCAGCCGGGCTGAATTGAAGATTTCCTATGGAAACCCCCATTCAGCCGGGCTGAATTGAAGATTTCCTATGGAAACCCCCATTCAGCCGGGCTGAATTAAAGTTTTGCTATGGAAAATCCCATTCAGCCGGGCTGAATTGAAGATTTCCTATGGAAGCCCCCATTCAGCCGGGCTGAATTGAAGATTTCCTATGGAAACCCCCATTCAGCCGGGCTGAATTGAAGATTTCCTATGGAAACCCCCATTCAGCCGGGCTGAATTGAAGATTTCCTATGGAAACCCCCATTCAGCCGGGCTGAATTGAAGATTTCCTATGGAAACCCCCATTCAGCCGGGCTGAATTGAAGATTTCCTATGGAAACCCCCATTCAGCCGGGCTGAATTGAAGATTTCCTATGGAAACCCCCATTCAGCCGGGCTGAATTGAAGATTTCCTATGGAAACCCCCATTCAGCCGGGCTGAATTGAAGATTTCCTATGGAAACCCCCATTCAGCCGGGCTGAATTGAAGATTTCCTATGGAAACCCCCATTCAGCGGTGCGGAATTGATGGTTTCCTGTGGAAACCCCCATTCAGCCAGGCTGAATTGAAGTTTTCCCTTGGAATTGAATTTTTTTTATGGAAACCCCAACTAAGCTGATCTAAATATAAGTTCTTCTGTATTTCTTTTAATTTTGTTTTTCATTCTTCCATTTCTCTTGCAGGCCGAATCGCCTCTGTTGCCTTCCACCAGAGAGAATTTCGTTCGGGAGGTGACCGCAACAAACAACAGCACACCCTCGCCCACCACTCCAACAGTAACCCCGCCCACCCTTATAACCACAGCAACCGGTCAATTGAATACCTCAAGAAACATATCACCGTTATTGATACCCGAACTACCTGCCACGCCCTCCGAGTACACACCCTCACCCCAGTATCCGAGTCGCAAACGGTTCTCCATACCAAATCTGCTACCCAGCAGCGGCAGTCGGCGCAAACTTAGCATAGAAAATATCACCCATCCCATTCAATCTCTCTTGGGCATCAGTGAGGAGCAATGTCGACGAAGGAATTCCCAACCCAACCTTAGAAGATTTCGTAGTAGAACTGATTCAAATTACAGTCTCGATAATCGACGTCAATCCCGCCAATTCTATTCAAAATCCCCCTCACGCAAACATTCGCACAACTACAATCTCTATCCGAAGGATTCGTTTTACAATTTAGAAGGTAAGGCCCCAAGGCAGTCGTGCAAAATGGACACAAAAGTGGATGCAGTTGGTCGCGTCACCGGCGAATGGGGCAGGTGGCAGCTGCGCACAGTCCTTTTGATATTCCTGTGTAAAATTCCCTCCTCCTGGTTTATGGCTTGTATTATTTTCACGGCACCCGCACCCAGACATGGTGAGTTCTTCTGCAAGCCACCACCCACGATTGGAGCTAAAAATCAAACGGCCTGGATAAAAGTCTCACATCCACAAAAGGAGGAGGTGCAAGATCAGGAATTTGCCATAGATTTCTGTAATGTCTACAAAGATGCTCAGGAACATGCTCATCACTACTTTAACTATGCCCATCAGGAAGATGAGCCGAGGGTGTGGGAGGAGCCCGAGTCCATCAAGTCCGATATTATTCCCTGCAAGGAGTTCCAACATGAGGCTGAGTTCCATTCGGTGATTACGCAATATGATTTGGTGTGTTCGCGAGATATTCTGGTGTCGGTCACGCAATTCTTCCATTTGTTCGGTGTGCTGACGGGAGGCATTCTGGCGAATCATTTGCTGAAGTAGTAAGTATTGGTGGAACACTACTTCTGGGAAAGGAAGTGAATAATACGTTGCTTCTTTTTTCGAAATAGTTTCAGTCCGCGCAATGTAATGCTGTTCGGCATGATCACCCAAATTTTATGTGGCAATTTAACGGGTCACGTATCCTCGTATGAGTTGCATGTTTTCTTCCGTTGCCTCTCGGCTGTTTGTTGTGCCCAAATGTACACGGCGGGTGGAATGATTAGTAAGTGAATCCGCAATAAAAATCAGAAAAAATAAAACTACATAATTTTCATTGCAGTGGCCGACATAACGGGTGGAACCTACAAGACCTGTGTTTCCACTCTGTTTGAACAATTCTGGTCCATTGGAGTCATAATGTTGCCCGGTGTGGCAAGTTTCTTCGATAGCTGGACCTATTTGTATATGGCCATATCATGGCCCACTGTGATACTCATTTACCTGTGGAGGTAAGACAGGATTAAAAAACTTAATCAAGCCGATTTAAATTGAAGGTTTCCTATGGGAATCCCCATTTAGCCGAAGTGAATTGAAGATTTCCTATGGACACCCCCATTCAGCCAGGCTGAATTGAAGTTTTCCTATGGAAACCCCCATTCAGCCAGGCTAAATTGAAGTTTCCCTATGGAAACACCCATTCAGCCAGGCTGAATTGAAGTTTTCCTATGGAAACCCCCATTCAGCCAGGCTGAATTGAAGTTTTCCTATGGAAACCCCCATTCAGCCAGGCTGACTTGAAGTTTTCCTATGGAAACCCCCATTTTTCTGTGGCTGAGTTGAAGATTTCTTATAGAAACCCTCATTCAGCCGGGCTGAATTAAAGCTCTCCTATGGAAACCTCTATTTAGCCAGGCTGACTTGAAGTTTTCCTATTGAAAACCCCCATTCAACCAGGCTGACTTGAAGTTTTCCTATTGAAAACCCCCATTCAACCAGGCTGAATTGAAGTTTTCCTATGGAAACCCCAATTCAGCCGGGCTGAATTGAAGTTTTCCTATGGAAACCCCCATTCAGCCGGGCTGAATTGAAGTTTTCCTATGGAAACCCCAATTCAGCCGGGCTGAATTGATGTTTTCCTATGGAAACCCCCATTCAGCAGGGCTGAATTGAAGTTTTCCTATGGAAACCCCCATTCAGCCGGGCTGAATTGAAGTTTTCCTATGGAAACCCCCATTCAGCCGGGCTGAATTGAAGATTTCCTATGGAAACCCCCATTCAGCCGGGCTGAATTGAAGTTTTCCTATGGAAACCCCCATTCAGCCGGGCTGAATTGAAGTTTGTATGGCAACCCCCATTTAGCAGGGCTGAATTGAAGATTTCTTACGGAAACCCCCATTCAGCCAGGCTTAATTGAAGTTTCTCATTGAAACCCCCATTCAACCAGGCTGAATTGAGGTTTCCCTATGGAAACCCCCATTCAGCCAGGTATCTGCCAAATTTGGGTCCGATTTTGCTACAACCTCCTTTTTTCTTCCAGATGGATTCCAGATTCTCCCAGATGGATGGTGGCCAGAGGCCGAGTTATGGAAGCCAAACAAATTTTAATAGAGGTAATAATTATGGCTTAACAAAATTGAAAATCAGAACTTAATTTTTTTCGTATTCTTCTACTTCTTTTCTCTCTTTATTTACTTCTTCTTCGTCTTCTTTTTCTTCTTCATCTGTTTCTCTTCACCAGTGCGCCGAATACAACGGCACTCGTCACAGTCTTCCCCATGACATCGATCAACAATTGGAGCTACAGGCCCAAACGGCCATGGATGCACCACCGCCAGCCGGCTGGTGGTCACTGTGGAAGGGCGAAAAGGCTGTGCGTCACATGGTGTGTGTCCACCTGTGCTGGTCCATCTACATTGTGGTCTACTATGGCATGCTTTTGAACATTCGTTCCTTTAGTCGAGAACACTTACAAGTCAACACTGTGATAGCCGGTATTTCAGAAATCATCGGCACATTTATTGGTCTGTTTCTAATTTTAAAGACAACCCGAAAATGGATATGGACGGGGCTGTTTAACATTTTGGCGGGCTGTATTGCATACACGGCATGGCTGGTGCCGCAAGATAGTAAGTAGGAAAGGTTCTTAATACAAGAAGTACTTAAAACATTTTGGGGTTTCTTTGCAGTTCCCTTCAATGCACGAGTCGCTTTGCTGATGCTGACGGCTATGATTTCCAAAATAGCAATATCCTGTACGCTGGCCATTCTGACCACCTGTACCGTGGAGTTGGTCAGCAATGAGAAGAAGAAAATCTGCGCTTTCTCCACCATTTGCTGGGCCCGTTTTTGGCTGTTGGGTGCACCGTTTATTGGTGCCACTGTGGTCTTTGGTCAATTGGTGCCCCAGACCGCGTTCGCCTCTCTGGCCATTACGGGTGGCCTGCTCAGTTCCCTTATCTCTAGTCCACGCACAATACCCAAGAAGCGGGCCTCACATGGTCTCAACAACATGGCCACAGCCACACAGCTCAACAACGAGGGTGGCATCGACAACAAAGCCTTCTCCAAGGGACCCATATTTAGTAGTATTAGCAGTAAATTTAATAAATCTCAATCGAATCTACCTCCACCAATGATGCCTGGTATTTGGACGACCAAAAGTCTGGAGGATGGCATCACAAATACAAGCTTACCGCCAGCATAATAGCCAACTTTTTTTTTGGAATCTCGAGTGTTTTAAACTCGAATTTAGAACAAAAAACACAAAATATTGCACACACACACGCGCAACAATAACAAAAGAAAAACAATTAAGACAACCTTCGAAATTCATACCAAGAAAATGAAATGAAAAGCAATTTCCCCCCTTCCCTTCCCCTCACCAATTTAATAAGCTAGAAGACTAGAGATCTATAAAAAATCAAAAGAAAAGAAACAAGGTAGCCAATCAAGATGATGACGATGATGATGATATTGAAAGTCAACGAATCGCAAAAACCTATAGGAATTGTAAGGAGTCACGTTAGAGAAACTGAGAGAGCAAGAGAGAATATTTTTTCATAACCCCTTATTATTATTAAAATGGAATTAGTAGTGATAGACAAATACTATGGAATTACAGATTTACCTAAGCTTTTCAAAATTCTTTTTTAAATATATATAATTAGGAATTAAGCTTAAATATGTACTTACATACATATATATACATATGAGAAATATTTCCCTTTGTTCCATTAGAGTTTTAGTTTGAAAATCGAAATTTTTAATAATTATGAAATGGAATAAGAAATTTTTAGAATACAACAAACTTCCATAGATGTAGCGTAGAAATGTGTTTTAACGTTGATAAAGAGAGAAATATGGATACGTAGTTGAGAAACTTTCGACTTTTGCCTTTAACAAAAAAATCGACTTTTCGGTCTATCGATTTTCTACGATCAACTCAAATTCGATTGTCGAATTTTACTTCCTAACCCTGTTCTGTTCTAGTAGCTGCAAGAATCTACTGTTTTTGCAATTTTATTCGATATCATAGAGGGAAAATCGGTTATCGTTCTAAAAACTTTTATATTCTAGAACAGACCAACAAAGTCGACATAAATCAATTTTTATTTAATCTTTATTTTTACCCACGGATAACACATCATGTTATCGATTTTGGGAGCATAGTAAAGAGTAGAAAATCTGAAATCATTGCATACTTTTTGGCTTCCAAAAGTAAATGATGGCGAATCGACAGTAGATTATGAATAGTCGATCCGTTGCCAAATCCAAAGTCGACTTATGTATACAGAATTTGAGAAACGATATAAAAATCTGGATTTCCTCTATGGCAATTGAAAATGAGGAATTTGGAAAAAAAAGTGTTCCATTTATGATCAAACTCCTGATTAGGGAACAGTTTTGAGGGCAAAATCGACTTATCTGACTACCTTTTCTCTCCGATCGGCTAAAAATCGATTTTCGATTTGTGTCTCCCCTAAGTCTATCAAAAGATGATACAATCGATTTTATAAATTATTTTGTGAGTGTTATTAGGAGTAAAGGATCACAAGTATAAATCCTTTATTCGTAACATATTTTTGACTTCTTAAAAATATATGAACGATAGTCGAAAATCGACTTTGCGATTTTTATCACCAACAAAAGTCGACTTACCAAAAATCGATCAATCGCTAATTCTAAAGTCGAGTTACGTATCCCTAATTTGAGAAATGATGTAAAGGTGAGAGTACATAAACAGCTTGAAGTCTTCGCATGGCATATTTTGTGACATATTGTAAAGGGATGCCAGAGCCGCACTCAAATTCTGCCGTCGTTTTCCTTTATAATTTGACATTAATATGCCTAGCCATGATGCCAAGCTTCTTATGTACCCTCACCTGAAGTGTCTTTTTGTGGTACTACTGTGGGTGCAACGAAAACTAAAGGATTTTAAAGATCTTAAGTCCTTCGATTTTTGAGGATCTTCAATTTGGGCGTTTTTGGTGATTAATTATATATACGTATCTCTGGGAATCCTTTATGGAACATGAATGGCGCCCAATATGTTATAATGGAATTTGAGGTGATAATAGGAAGTCGAGTTACGTATCCCGAATTTGAGATACGTTTGGATTTCCATTATCATCCAAACAAAATAAGGTTTTTGAAAAAATATAAATGTTGAGATTTTTGGAGGTAATTTTTATGTGTTAGCCAAATTTGGAGCCCAATGAACATTAAGAAGGATGTTAGACCCAACAAAGTATATATATTCTTGACCAGCGTAAAATTCCAAGTCGATTTAGACGTCTGATATTTAAATCTCGCAATAGAGAACTATCACTATAGCAGGAAATCGTCACAATCGACTTTATGGCATGGTTACCAACCGATTTCACTGGCAAAAATGGAAGTAGACCCAATATTTTATACCGATTATTTTATTTATAAAGGAACATATTAAAAATTCGGTCCGGACGACCTTAACGCCATTTTACATGTTTAATTTGAAATATTTTATTGGGCTTCAAAATTTGAAAATATAAAATATTAATCGGCCCCGAGTAGTGGAGATCCAACCCTTAAAGGAGACATCAACTCAAATATCATTTACCCAATATAAATTCAAACAAGTAGAGATTGTCTAAGATTTCCCGTCAGTGGAAACTTCCATACCTATCAGAACTAATTTTAAAATGTTTTTTTCAGATACTATCAAACCCTTAAAGGAGACACAAACTTAAATATCATTTCCCAAATATAAATTCACACACAGTCGAAAATTTTCTAAGATTTCCCGCCTGTGAAGCACTTCCACACCCAATCCGAACTAATTTTTAAATGTTTATTAGGATAATATTTCTTCCAATGAATTGTGAATCTTCAAACAATATCTCAAAATTTCTCAAGCACTTCAAAACTACAAATGAAAATGATTTCAAAACCATAGTATGCTCAATTTGCTTATAATCTTATAGAGTCATTGAGAATTAAATGCTTTGTCAATTAATATTTGTAATATACATGTAAACTTTCAAATCATCAGTCATTCAGTTTTATATCTAGGTATACAGGACCCATGAGGACCTACATACGTAATACTTTATTTCATGAAAGATCAGGGGCCAAAATCTCAAATTCGATTTCGAAAAAATATCGATCGAAATTAATTTTAATATGTCAATATATGCTTTAAAAATATGGTATAATTTTTTTAACAACATTTTCATTTTTTAATTTAAAATAGGCATACAGGAATTCATTTCAATCGAATTTTTTTCCATATTGAATGCGAGCATTTGAATCGAGATCTGGAATGTTAATCCTATATAGCTAAGTCTTCGACTTTTTTTACAAAGTTTTACGTTATGTCCTCGTGGGACCTTTTTAACATAACAGCAACATGAACAAATTATTAATTTTTATATAATTTTTCTTTTTATAAATTTTGTTTTAAAATTTTCTTTAAAACATTGCCCCAGTTCATCTCTATTACATTATTTTTAAGTAGTTTAGTTAATTTGTAAACATTCAAATTATGTAAAGAGAAAAAAACTCATGAATATTTGTTCAATTGTTTATACAGCCCCTCACTTAAGGTTAACTGAAACAAAGTAAAACTAAAACCAAAAAAGACGCTCGTTTAAAATAAAAACAAAATAAGTTTTTAATTACTTTCAATGTAAATTAAAACCAAAAGCAAATAAACAAACACAAAATATAGACGAATATTGTTAAATAAATAAATAAAACTTTTAAATTGTTATTTTTTGCGAAAAAAGAAGTGAATTTTTGTTAAATGTGGATACAAGAAGGTAAGGGGAAAAATAGGGACTAAGTTCAGCTTTTAATACCCTCCACCATTTGGAAGGAACTTGAAAATAAAAAAAAAAAAATAATAAAAAAAATAAAAAATAAAAAAACCAAGGACCTGCATAAGTAATTTTTTGTCATAGGCTGTAGTATAGATTCCGAACTTCAAATACGGAATTTAAAAGAATTCCGGTAAATATTGTCGCTTATAACACCAAAAATCCGAATAATGGCAGGTACTTTTATATGTGGGTTATACAAAGTCGTGGACCTGCAAAGAAAACTTTTTGTCCTATGTTGAAGTATCCATTACGAACTTCAACTACAAAATTTGGAATAATTCCGGTGTATAATATCGCTTATATCAACAAAATACTGAATATCGGGAGGTATCGTTATATTGGGGCTATGCGAAGACCTGGACCTTCATACGCAATTGTTTGTCATAAGTATCCATTACGAGCTTTAAATACCAAATTTGAAACAATTCCGGTTTATAATGTCTATAATATTATAACAAGTAAAAATACATTAAGTTCGGGACGATCTTCTAATACCCCCCAACACTGGGTAAAGAAAACATTTTTATGGAAAAGTATTTGGATTCAAACGTGTTCTACCTTAAACTACAAACTCCAGGTAGGAGAATGGTGGGAGCCGTTATATAGAGAGCCATACTAAAACAGGATGACTGGGACAAATATTTTAACGGACAATATTTTGACGCCGGTTGTAGAACCCATTATGAAGCACAAATACCAAATTTCACACAAATCTATTAGAAAATGTGGCTTAAATCGTCAAAATACCGAATCTCCGGGAATCGATATATGTGAGCTATAGGAAAACTTGGACCTTGGACCCCACCTGAGCTGGAACCCACTACGAACTACAAGTACAAACTTTTAGACGAATCCGTAGAAAAATGTGGGTAAAACTATCAAAATACCGAATATCGGGAGTCATTGTTATACGGGGGTTATACGAAAACGTGTACCTATTTGTAAAATGCTCCTCCATCGGAGCTAGAACCCATTTCGTACTACAAATACCTTTTTTTTAGACAAATCCGTTAGAAAAATTTTTGCAACAATCATCAAAATACCGAATATCAGGACCGTTATATTGAGTTATACGAAATCGTTGACCTATATATACAATAATCCAAAACCGGAGCTGGAACCCATAGCGAACTACAAATACCAATTTTTAAACAAATCCGAGGGAAATGTGGCTAAAACCATCAAAATATTGAATATCGGAAGGTACCGTAATATGGAGGCTATACAAAAACGTGGACCTGTAGATAATATGTTCCGCAACAGGTGATAAAACCGGTGCTAGAATCTATTATGACCTATAACAAATTGGACAAATCCGTAAAAAAATGTGGCAAAAATCATCAAAATGCCGAATGTCGGGAAGTGCCGTTATATGGTGGCTATACCAAAACGTAGACCGATATATCT